AAGTAAAAACTCTCTAATCCGTTACTAATTAAGAGAACAGCATTGGAGGGGGGGGCAGATCTGAGTGGGCTGTGTTAGGAATGGGCAGGGAGGTAAGGTTGTACTTAGTGGGGACAGAGATCTGGGCGGCCCTTTATACTGTCAATGATTACAAATCTTGTTTCCAGTCTGCTATTTGATGGAGGCCAGGCTACAAGGTCTTGAACATCGAGAGATCTCCAACTTTGAATGGCTCTCCTTCTTCTACTGCATTATTCTGCCTCTGATCTATTATTTGCAGAATGCAAGCTATCATTTCCCCCTTCCCAGCTCAGTTTCTCTCTGAGTGGAATGAGCCCAAGCTCTTCTTTAACTTGGTTTAGAAGGCAGAGCTGCAAGTCCCAGCAGTGGGAGCAGGCAGATGCTGACGGAACGTTCAAAGGCTGTGGGATCAGAAGCAAAGAGTGGCAGTGGTGGTGCTGGGAATGATGTGCCACTAAAATGCACTTGGAGTCCAGTGACAGGCCAGCTGAGCTCCCTTTGCAATTCAAAACAGGAGTAAGTGTGTGTGTGTGTGTGTGTGTGTGTGAGAGAGAGAGAGAGAGAGAGAGAGAGAGAGAGAGAGAGAGAGAGAGAGAGAGAGAGAGAGAGAGAGAGAGAGAGAGAGAGAGAGAGAGAACGAGAACGAGAACACATGGGAGCACACACAAGGAAATAATTTATCTTCCTCCTTCAACAACCCCCTTCCTAAACCAAACAGTTTTGTTTGTTCAAAAATGGATATGCCACCTCTCCAGAGACCTGCTTTTAAAAAATGACCATTCTGGGCAAAACGATCTGTGCCTTGGAATTCAAAGGACATTTTATCATGGGAATTAGTCTGCACTAGGGAACACACTTTATACATGCTCAGAAATACTTACTGCTTTACGTGTTCTGTGCCAAGGTGCGGCTTCCAGAAAGAGGTTCAAAGGCTGAGACATGGCTCAGATTTAAACCCGAACAGGTCTCGTGCTGTCTGAACACACGTTTCCCCAAAGCAGGGCTCTTTGGACCCAAAACAGAAGGATGACTTAGGGCAATACCCCACTGGCCTAGCTGGCCCCTAAAGTTCCACGGCTGGAGAAGAAAGCCTGGCACACACCCACCCCCTTCCTTCTCCTGTTAAGCTGTGACCCCTTTGATGAATTATTACTCAGGGCTAGCTGTTTGGAAAGCTAAATATAGCAGCAAAGTGTGTGAAATCAGAGAGATGCTGTGTGTTTAAAGGAAAGGAGTCTTGAGGTTTGAGGGGTGTCAGATAGGGCATAATTCTTCCCTCTGATGAAGCAGCAGCCCCTCCCTCCACCACTCCATCTTTCCTGGCAGCTATAAGGGGAAGGTTTTCCCCTCCCTTTATATTTTAAGCACCTAATTACAAAGTAGGAAAGAGGCTCCGTCATGCTGGTTAGTGAGAACAGGACCAGAAATGGAGGCGCTTCTGATTTCTGCAGCAGCACTGGCCTAACTTGCATGTGTGCGTGTGCCAATCTGCAAAAGATAAACCTAACATCTGGAATAGAGTGAAGCTGGAGGAAAATGTAAAAACAGCGATAACACTCGTGTGTATAGACATATGCTACTAGGTCCAAAAGCGATGCTGCTGTTTAATCATTATAGTTTGATTAATGGATGGTTGTTCTGTTCTGTAGCTATTATTATGCACTGGTCTAACTTGGGGCACCTCTGGTGGATAGGCAATCAGGCAGCCCGTGGGCGGCATCCAGCAGGCCCACGGATGCTTTTCTGGTGCCTTGGAACCACTTAAGGCTAAAAGCCAACATCAAGAGGAAAGGGAAGCTCTCCTGGGACAGGGAAATTTCCGGATCAAAGCATACTGCATTCGCACACATGCACCAATCCCCACCCCACCCCCGCCAGTCAATGTGTTCCCCTTCGGTGGCTTGTTTTACAAATGTGTAGACAAACAGGATATGCTCTGCTCCTTCCCAGAGGAATTTTCCTAGGAGTTGATGGGCTCAGCTTGGTGCTAAGCAGCCCAGCCGCTCTGATTTTCTTTGGGGGTGGTGGTGGTGCTTCCCTTCCTGTAGAATGCTTGGCAGAGTTGGCTGCTTGGGATAGGGAGCTCTGCCAAGGCATGACCGAGGAAGCCACCTTCGAACACTGGGAAGGGTTGCCAGCTGGCAGTTGCAATCTCCCGCTGTCACGCAGGGAACCTGAAAATGTCACACGTGGGGGGGGGCAGTGGGTATTAGCCACTAATCATCGGCTCATGCTCTGGTGTTGGGTGTAGAATTCAGGCTGCTTTTTAATATTGTTTTCCCTTGGAGAGGCAAGTTTCTAGGCCATATGGCTGCTCGGATAGGCTTGAAGGTGCGTGGGCAGTGCCTGGCGTAATCTCTGCTATCAGTGGAAGTCTGTTAAGGTTTCCAGTGATTGTTGCTTCAGTGCCCTAATCCTTAACAAAAGCAAAAATTAAATTATGTGCAATTAGTCAAAAACTAATCCAACTTTCCAAGGTGCGAAAAAAAAAATTGGTGAGTTTTTGTGTGTGTGTGTGTGTGTGTGTGTGTGTGTGTGTGTGTGTGTATGTATGCCTGGAAGTCATGTTTGACTTCTGGCAACCCCTAGTGGAGCTTGGATGTTTTAGAGAGGTGGCTTACTATTGCCTGCCTCTGCGTGCCAGTCCTGGTATTCCTTGGAGGTCGCCCTTTCAAGTACTTGCCAGGATCAGACCTGCTTAGCTTCCGAGATCTGACCAGATTGGGCTTGCCTGGGCTATCCAGGTTAGGCCAAAGTGCAAAATTTTTGAGTGCTAAAACCACTCTGTTACGTTGCCTGGGCTATCCAGGTTAGGGCAAGGTGCAAAAATTTTTAAGTGCTAAAACCACTCTGTTAAGTCACCCATTTTCTACTGGCTTTCCTATTAACTGTTCTCTAGCTCCTTGTGCCATTCATCCACACTATTCCTTTCTTAACTCCAACCCTCACCCCACTAACTCTGGGCTGAGAATAATAATGCTGTCACTGGTCGTCCAGC